AAGCAGTCGAGAAATCGAAACTTGCACTAGTCATTTTCTCAAAAGACTATGCTTCTTCAACATGGTGTTTGAAAGAACTTGTGCATATACTTGGATGCAAGAAAAGCCATGGACAGGTTGTTATACCCATTTTTTATCGCATAGATCCATCGGATGTACGAAAACAGCAGGGAACTTATGCACTTGAAGATCGTCCACTTAAGCGCAGTAGGGATGAGGTGGCCAACTGGAGGGCTGCTTTGGAGGAAGCAGCCAATATGTCTGGGTTTCATTATTCCAGCAAAACAGGGTAACTAACTCTCTAATTTGTATCAATTTCTACTTTTTTATTATTTGATTCATACTCTACTCCTACTATTGTTTGTCTTTCATAACGATATTTGCCAGGACAGAGGCCCATTTTGTTGAGAAAGTTGCTCAAGTTGTTTTGACCAAATTGAATCGCGAATCGTCAAGTGATTTAAAGGGTCTGGTTGGGATTGAAAAGAAAATTGGGAAAATTGAGTCGTTATTATGCTTGGGTTCACCAGGTGTTTGCTGTGTAGGTATTTGGGGCATGGGTGGTATTGGCAAGACCACCCTTGCTGATGCTGTATTTCACAGGCACTCATCTAAATTTGAAGTTTGTTGTTTTCTTGCAAATGTGAGGGAGAAATCAGAAAAAATGGATGGACTAAATGACTTGCGAAATACACTTGTTCGTGAATTATTAAAGGATGAACGTGTAAATATCAACACTCTGTCTATACCACGTCATATTCAAGATAGGCTCAGGCGTACGAAGGCGCTCATTGTTCTTGATGATGTGAATGCTCGAAAACAACTAGAATATCTTGTTGGTGATGATGATCGGTTTTGCCAAGGAAGTCGAATCATTATAACTTCTAGAGATCAAGGCCCACTTAAGCAAAGAGTTGACCGTGAAAAGATATACGAAGTTGAGAGATTAGGTTCTTATGAAGGTCTTGAGCTCTTTCACTCGCATGCTTTTGGAAATAAGTCTCCGACAACAGATTACACTGAGTTGTCAAGAGAGGTGGTGGATTATATTAAGGGCATTCCATTAGTTCTTGAAGTTATAGGGTCCTTATTCAGTGGTCGCACGAACAAACAACAGTGGGAAGCTGAATGGAAAAAATTGAAACAATTTTCAAACAAACAAATCGATCAAATGTTGAGAGTAAGTTACGATGGATTAGGAGAACATGAGAAGGAGATATTTCTTGATATAGCATGTTTTCATAAAGGCTATATGAGGAATGATGTAGAAAGGATGTTAGACAGTCGTGATTTCTTTGGGGAAACAGGAATCAATGATCTTATTGATAGGTCTCTTATATCAATTTCAAAAGAAGGATGGTCAAAAGGTCGGATAGAGATGCATGATTTGGTGCAAGAAATGGGTAGGACAATTGCTCGAGAACAACACAGTAGGTTGTTTACTGCAGAGGATGTCTATCAAGTATTGACAAATAACCAGGTAGTTTAATTATTCACATTTACAATAAACAAGTTAGATTATTCCTACAAATGTAATTTTGATTACATTGTTTTTTGTATATTATATTTACATTTATATTTTGCTCTTGATTTTCAGAGAGATGGACGTGTTCAAGCCATATCCTTTGACTTGTCTAAGATTGAAAAGCTACACTTGAAAGATGCAAACTACGAACAGATGCATCAACTAAGATGGCTACGTGTCAGTTCATCTCCCATTTTCAACAAATACCAGTTCACTGGTTCTCTAGGTCTTCCCAATTCTCTTATATATCTTCACTGGTACAAATATCCTTTGAAATCTTTGCCATCAAAATTTTCTGCTCAAAATCTTCTTGTCCTTGAAATGCCGTACAGCCAAGTTGTGGGGCAACTTTGGAATGAAGACCAGGTATATTATATATGCTTATTTTAGTTCCTGTATAACATGTGACCGAGAAAGTAATAATCTACAAGCTAATAAGTTATTAATTCTTGTTTAATTTGTTACAGAGTCCTCCTGTGAACTTAAAATGGATCCGTCTCAGTGGAAGCCCACATTTAACTGAAGTCCCAAATCTCTCTCGAAGTCTAAAAATTGAGCATATAGAAATGAATGACTGTCAAAGTTTGGTTGAAATTCCTTCGTATTTTCAACATCTTGGCAAGCTTACTTATCTTGACCTTGGGGGCTGCACAAATCTCAAAATTCTTCCCAAGATGCCATGTAATCTTGAAGTCTTACTTTTATCTGACACAGCAATAGAGGAATTGCCTTCATCAGTTTGGTCTCACGAAAAAATATCTCGCTTAGATATTACATCTTGTGAACATCTTAAGAGTCTTCCAAGCAACACTTGTAAGCTGAAACTCTCTCTTAGTCTCGAAGGCTGCGAATCTCTTTGCGAGTTTTGGGAGCTTCCCAGGGATACAACAAAGCTACAGTTGAGTAGATCAACAATAAAAGAATTGAGGAATGCATCAATAGAGTCTGTCGTTGGTCTCAACACTGAATTGTTGCGAAAGTCTTGTGAGTCTCCCAACGAACATTTGGAAGTTGAAATCTCTAAAGAGCCTTGATCTCGAGGATTGTTCTAACTTTCAAAACTTCCCAGAAATCTCAGAGGTTATGGAATATCTAGAGTTTCTAAATTTATCAGGTACAGCGGTTAAAGAGCTACCCCCATCAATTAGAAATCTAGTTGCGCTTCGAAAATTAGATCTCGAGTGCTGCGATAACCTTGAATCTTTACCAGAGCTCCCCCCATCACTGAAGGCAATTAATCTCCGGTATTGTTCTAACTTTCAAAACTTCCCAGAAATCTCAGAGGTTATGGAATATCTAGAGTTTCTAAATTTATCAGGTACAGCGGTTAAAGAGCTACCCCCATCAATTAGAAATCTAGTTGCGCTTCGGAAATTAGATCTCAAGCGCTGCGAGAACCTTGAGGTTGTCCCCGATGAGCTCTTTTGCTTAACCTCATTACAAGAGTTATTTTTGAGGGGGACCAAAATTAAGAGCATACCTGCAAGCATCAAACAACAAGCTGCTCAGTTGTCTCGCCTGTTCCTCACCAACTGCAAGAGCCTTGAATCTTTACCAGAGCTCCCCCCATTGCTTCAACATCTTGAAGTAAAAGGTTGCACGTCACTGAAGACAGTGTCAAGTTCAAGCACTGCACTCGCACAAGGTTGGGAAAAATATAAATTTTCTCGAGGGCTTCATAAGAAACATATATTTTTGGAATGCCCAGAGTTGGATGAGAATGCACGAAGCAACATAATGGCTGATGCACAGCTCAGAATTATGCGAATGGCAACTGCGTCGTCAAAGTTTAAAGAAGACAAAATTGAAGAACCATCATATGATTCAGATGATAGCTATGATGATGAGTCATATGATTCATATGATAGCTATGATGATGAGGTATCTCTCTCTCTCTCTCTCTCTCTCTCTCTCTCTCACTTCTGTTGAAGAAGTTGCTCTTTGTTTTTCACGAGTTTAATAACTATGATGTCCATATCCATGGTACAGGAATCTTTACACAAGAGATCTTTTGTTGGCATTAGATGTTGTGGGAATGAAATTCCAAATTGGTTCAGCCATAAAAGTGAGGGATGTTCAATAAAGATTGAGCTTCCTCGTGATTGGTTTAGCACAGATTTCTTGGGTTTCGCTCTATCTCTTGTTGTTGTTGGTGCTTCAAGTCGTCTGGGAATTGGATGCAAGTACAACTTCAAAACTAGCAATGGTGAAAGCCATGAAGTCAACCATCCTTGGTGTAGTCCGTTAATGACTGGAAGCAGAGGAGATTCACCTGAGGTGTTCGTGTGGTGGTATAGTGGTTTCTTTGAAGAAGTTGTAGAGGGAGCTCAAAGCCCCACTGCGTTTTACAAACTTGTTACTGAGGTCAATGTTGACTTCATCGTATGGAATCTTAGCTACGAACCCCTTCTGGAGGCGGAAAAGTGTGGGATATGTCTGTTGTATGGCAAAGATGCCGAGATGATAAAGCAGAGGGCTTTGTAGATCAAGCCGATATGCCAAAATTCAAAATTTCATTTCATTTGAGCTGTTTGCAAGACTTGTGGCTGAGGATGCTTTTGAGTTTGTTAGGCTTAGGGATGTCTTTCTTGTTTTAACCCTTTATCCTCTCCATCGCCAAGCTTTTTGGCTAAGCATGCTTTTGAGTTTAGTAATTTTCTTCATTGAATTCAAGTATTAAATTGTTAATAGTGTCATTTAAGTAATTTTGAGACTGGGGGCATAAATGAGTAGATATTTTTGGAAACTCATATCTATAATAAGGTTAAATACATTGGGCCTCTTGGTCATCACTTCAGAGTTTGGGGGCCTTTTTTGTGCAGAGCAATGGCCTCTCAGTTAGTGCAAAAGCAAAGTCAATGAAAGATTGGCTTATCATGGAATTTCTGGGTCAACTTTAAACGTAATTTTCACACTTTTTCCCACCAATTATGGGGACAAAAATGTATTCAGTTGTCTGATTGTGCTGTAATCGGACAGCTCAACATTCACTGGTTTTTTTTTCAGACAAAAAAAAAAATAAATGAAAATAAAAATTGTATTCAGTGCTACTGATATTGGCAATAATAAACATTGCCCCAAGCTTTTAGGAGATATATATATATATATATATATAGTCGTTGTCGCAATAAAAACAAGCCTTTTTTTTCACAAATAAAAATAAATTTTTAATCCCAAAGTATTACTTAATTGCCATTTATATACCTTAATGAACAACTAAGCTGCAAAACTCGTATATCGATAAATAAATAAAAAGCTGCAAAACTCATCAAATAGTTCACATATAATAAAATTGCGAGGATGAAGTGAGTTATAAACTACGTCACTAGTTTGACGTTACAAATTTATGAATATTTGAATTTATTTGATACGTGTGATTTGTAGTTTTTTTCCCTTCTCTGTTTCTCTATTTATGAGATTGGTGATGTACAGTTTTATTTTTGTAACGATAAAGAAATAAGGCATGGGCGTTTTCTCCTTTACCAAAATTAAAAGCATCCCACCTTACATTTGTATCCCCTTTCCTCCTCGCTTTCTTATCTTCCCCATGGATGTCGACAAACCCTAATGGTCAATGGCAAAGTGATGATGGTACTTGATCATTTCAATTTTCTTAAATAATTTAAAAAATGATAAAAGAAAAATATACGGGAATCAAAGAGTGTTAACTTCTTGGTTTGAAGTATTTTTCAGCATTTATAAGTTCATTAACAATTGTATTCAGATCGTGAATTAACAAAAAAATGTAACTAGTCGCATACGTGTGCTAAAGAAAATGAACTAAATAAAAATCAATTCCGCATTTACAGTAATACAAAAATGAAAGCGCTCAGCTCCCATCAGAGAACTAGGACATTCCGAGCTCACATTAACTGCTTCTGCCAAAAAAAGACTAAAAATTCAAAACAATCTGATTGAGAGCACATTTCCATCAACGTCAAAGCCCGATCAACCACTACCATTATACATATACAATCATAAACACTATGATATAAATACAACTATAGATTGGTTTTGCGACGGCTTATACGACCAAAATGAAGAGAGAGGAGAGAGAGTACCTGCCCAAGGACCGGTTTAGGGAGACCGGAGGCTTGGAAGAAAGCGACGGCTTCGCTGCCACTAATCCCGCCATCGCGGTCCAAATCGGCTCGTCGGAACTAAGCATCGAAGAGATCCACATTCGCCGATTGGTTTTGCGCCGACGCCATCAACACCGTCGAATTGCGATTCGCCAAGATCAGACCATGAGATCAAGAGTGCCGCGTGCTCAAGCTACCGTGTACCTGAGGAGCAGCGGAGCAATCAGAAAACCAAGAATTGGGAACGAAAATTCGAAGCCCTAAAATGACATACAGAGAGATTTGCTGCCTTTCTTCTCCGATTTGGAGGAAAAAAGAAAACGACGACGGATACACTGGGAGATGTCGATGAGTTTTTTTTAAAACGATCGTCGTTAATCAATTTATTTATTTTTTCTGCTTTATGACAAAAAAGGTACTGTGTTTGTTGCGATATTTCAAAACTGCCCCTGGTTTTAGTAGCCCGGCCCATTAGGTACCACTGGTTTTTAATGATGAAAAATGATTGCAACCAAAAATGATTTTATGATTGCCCTTGGGAAGGACATTTGGTGTGTCTTGGAGGAGATGTCATTCTCATGCGTCCATGGAATTTGAGTTTTTTTGGGTTCAAACAATCAAAATGCAAATTGGGTTTCTTTTCTCATGGCATTAACATTAAGGCATTAACTAACTAGCAAAGCATAAAGAACACACATGAGTAAGAATCTCATAACTTTTTTCCATTTAATTGTTTGATACTTGAGTGTAGGTATTTTAAGATGGACCTTGTAAGCCATGTCAAGATGGGTGTGGAGGCATTGTAAAGTAGGGTTGGATGTGGTGCGATTTGGTTTGGTTTAATCCTTCATTAACACATTGGAGCAATGAAATATCGTAATTTGGATTGATTATATATGTATCTTAACCAAACCAAACCAATCTCTTAGTAATTGGTTTGGTTGGTCTCTTCTAGGGATGTAAATTGGATTGGAAAATCTGATTCCGACCGATTCTGGTCCGAAACTTTTCAAAAAAATATGACTTCGATACCTCAAATATCCGAAAGTGCCGAAATCCGATATTTCCGATAAAATTCGGATTGGAATCAAAATGTATCTTTAAATTTTGATTTGAAAAATTCCGAACTACTCCCAACCCTTTCCGATCCGATTTTTCCAATTTTTTCTGAAAAATTTTAATTTTTTAATTATAATTGTTTTTTTTTTGTAGGTCTTATATATGTTTCATTTTAGTATTCATATTCATATATTCATCTATATACAGCAAAAGACATAAAATGGCGAAACATTCAAAATACCAGAAAATGCCCTTAGTTAATTCAAACATTAAGAATTGAAATTATTAATTAAATGAGGATAATATGATAAATTCAAATTTTTATATTTAAAAATTAAAATTAAAAACAAAATCAAATAATATGTCCAATTTTTATGGAACATAACTACCTATGTTATCTTTTCTTAATTCTAAAAAAAATATAAAATAAAAAAGAAAACCAATTAGCACATGCGTGAGCGTGTGCCAAGAGGCTAGTATATGCTAAGCATATGAGTATATTAATTTATGACTAGCAAAAAATATATAGTCTTGTTTTTCTCTAAAAATATATATAAATTTGTTTTCCAATAGATTAATGTCATCCTCCTTAGGATTTAAAAAAAAAACAAAGCAACACAAACAATTTGCTCAAAACTTGCTTTAAACGTGGATTGTCTTAATTGGCCTTTAATTGGACCCTAATGCATGCCACCCTACCAAAAATACTTAGATTTTCACAATCCAAAAATAAAAAAGTTTTGACACGGCATTTAATTGGTGCTTGGTTCTTGAAAAATGAAACAACTCTTTCCCCTAATAGATCTGATTGGCTGATTGTTGTATATGTTTACTGTAGATCTATAAATGACAAACGAAGTGGATTTCAACCCTCAAGTTACCAATCAGGTCTCTGAGTATGCTACCATCAAAAGAAGCAAAAAAGGACCAAGAAGTCTAGCTCCTAGAAACCATGGAAAATCTGAGGTATGAAATTATTTTGTTTTGGGGTTAGCTTAATCATGATTCACAAGAAAATTAAAATAAAGTGATATTTCGAAATTATTGTCTGAATATTCCGAAAATAGTAACTTCTGAAAATTTCCTAAATTTCCGTATCGGAATAAAGTTATTATATTCCACATTTTCGGAATCAACATCGGAACTGAAAATCAATTCAGAAACATTTCGGATTGGAATTCGGGACACCTGTTTCCGATCTGTTCTGACCAAATTACACCCCTAGTCTCTTCATAAGAAACTAACTTCCCAAACTAAAACATAAATCAAGGGAAATTTCATATCAGTAAATTAAATAACATTTTATCAAAAAAAAACTTCACACTAAAAAGACGCAGGAAGTTTAAGATAGAAATACATGTGTAATATCAAAGTGTGGGATATTGAGCATATAAATCTGCCTTGTTGTAAAAGTTTGGTTGAAATTCCTTCGTATTTTCAACATCTTAGCAAGCTTACTTATCTTGACCTTGCGCGGTGCTACAATCTCAAAAATCTTCCCGAGATGCCATGCAGTCTTAAATTCTTAGATTTGTCTTGGACAGCAACAAAGAAATTGCCTTCATCAGTTTGGTCTCACGAAAAAATATCTCACTTAGATCTTAAATTTTGTGAACATCTTAAGAGTCTTCCAAGCAACAGTTGTAAGCTGAAACTCTCAAATTCTTTTAGTGTAGAAGGCTGCGAATATCTTTGCAAGTTTTGGGAGCTTCCCAGGAATACAACATTGCTAGCGTTTAGTGGTACAACAGTAAAAGAATTGAGGAATACATCAATAGAGTCTGTTGTTGGTCTCACTGCAATTAAACTGATCAATTGCGAAAGCCTTGTGAGTCTCCCAATGAGCATTTGGAAGTTGAATTATCTGGAGAGCCTTGATCTCAGTGGTTGCTATAACTTTCAACACTTCCCAGAAATATCGGAGGCTATGGAACATCTGCAATTTCTAAATTTATCAGGTACCGCGGTTAAAGAGCTGCCCCCATCAATTGGAAATCTAGTTGCGCTTCAAAAATTAGATCTAAGTGGGACCGAAATTAAGAACATACCTGCAAGCATCAAACAAGCTGCTCAGCTGTCTCATATGTGCCTCATAAATTGCAAGAGCCTTGAATCTTTACCAGAGCGTGATTATTTGCTATAGTAATAGTGACATTTGAAAGTATTTCCCACATAATTAAGTGTGAAACATGTATATTCAAGAAAATCAACGTACAAGTCAAAACTAATTAATCATTTTTATTATTATTGTTAAGATTAGACACGCGAGTTTCAACTTTCATGAATACACATGAATGTAACTAAATAATTTTACCAATTTTCCGGTACAAGTAATTAAAAACAAAGAATTAGTTTCCCATTTATCAAAAAACTGAACAATTTATTTGACAAAGACATGAACCAACCTCAACTCTCAAGTTTGAATTACTCGAAACCCAGGTCATACATGGACCAAAAAATTATTGCACCAAGTCTAGCCAATTAATAAACTAGCGAGCCCTCCTCCTACACCTGCAAAATGCGCTCTCTCTCTCTCTCTCTCTCTCTCTCTCTCTCTCTCTCTCTCTCTCTCACGCACACACTCTGTCTGTCGAACTCACTTCTGTTGAAGAAGTTGCTCTTTGTTTTTCACGAGTTTAATAATTATGATGTCCATGGTACAGGAATCTTTATTCAAGAGATCTTTTGTTGCCATTAGATGTTTTGGGAATGAAATTCCAAATTGGTTCAGCCATAAAAGTGAGGGATGTTCAATGAAGATTGAGCTTCCTCGTGATTGGTTTAGCACA